TTGAAATTGATGCAGCAGCAAAATGGACAGATGTGGCTACCAAGTTGTTTAATCTGTCGAAGCCATCACTTCAGGCCAGTATGGCCAGGAATCCAGACCAGAGACAATCTGTTGAGTCTTCCTATCAAGGGGAGTCGTTTTTGGCAATTTGCTACCAAGTTAGACGTTGTTAGATGGGAGCCAAGAGCTTGCAACGCCGCTTGACTGTCTGAGAATATTTTTATTGACTTGTGTATGAGGTTGGATTCTTTCAATCTCACCTAACCTAACCTAACCTACCATCGACCGTGAGTCACGCTCGATGGTAGGTTAGACGTTTCTGGAAAACGCAAAGCATGATTTTTCTGAAAATTTCACCTCTCACATTTCCTTACCTGTTCTATTGATCTTAAATATTTTCAGTATTGCGGCGTTGCCACTTCTATCAAAAAGTCCTAGCAATTATATTTTTTTAAATGGAACACCCCGTATATTAATACATTTTTGGAATCGCTCTAGTATTTTAATNTCGTTTACGAGATCCCCTTGTACAGAAACGAATTTGAATAGCCCTGTAGAACACCCCCATCTACAAAGGAAGATATGAAAAATAGAATTAAGGGCGTATCCCAAAGTATTCCAATCAGCATGTTGAGGCGAGTTAATGAAGAATTTTAAAACCGAATACATTATTGTTTGGACGTAGCCGGTAGTTACTTTGAGCAGTTGTTAAAGTTTCTAATATTTTTTTTATCGTTTCAATTATTTACTCTCATGAATTAAAAAAAAATCCATTTATCAGCGGTCGTCCCTTTAAGAACAGACAGCCCTCAGAAGTTGAAAACGTGCAAAGCAAGGATTAACAAGGTTTTACGTTTTAACGTGCGATTCCTAGCACCTTCTCTTACTAGTAGAATTTAAAGGTTCATTTTTTCAAAAGCTTGCTTCAAATATAAAAACACAGAAACAAATAACGCTTTCAATGATCAGTCAAGTTCAGTAGGATTGTTCAGCATTCACACTTTTTACAATAAATATACAAATATAACCAATATGAATAGTACGGATGAAAAAACTACACTCAAATAGTTACATCCAAGCGCTAAGCACATTTACTTATGAATTCAGATCTAAAAAACATTTTTTGAGAATAACAACAATAGCTAGTTAAAGAAGAATTATAATATTACTGAAGAAGACTGGCAGAAAAGGATTAAAAAAAGTAATTTTAGTTGAATAAGACTATAATGGAGATGGACACTTCCATGTTAATGGTGGAAATAAATTCATTATTGATTTAAATGACGTAAGTGATAGTGAAACACAGAATATGGAAGAGGAATTATCAGAAACTTTCGAAGAAAGTTGTGAAGTGTTTTTGGAGCGATCGATTGTATATATATATGTGAGTAGTATTCAGAAGTATTTTCAATTATAACCCTGTTATTTGAATCCCTACTTTCGATTAAATTTCATCAATATTTCGCCGAGACGGTTGGTTGAAATTTTCAGGAGTGGAAAAGGTTGTTTTTTCCCTGATATTACACTTTCGTTCCTCAGGTTGGCAAGATAATTACTGGGCATGGTTTCACTAATAAGTCTGTCAATGATACACCGGGCCAGGTAGTCGGGTTTTATTGTCCTTTGTTTCCTTTTGCTCTATTGAAATAGAGGGACAAGCAATCCCTAGAAACTATAAACAAAATTGAAGCCGATTCTGGAAAGTTTTTTTCAATTTATACCCGTTTAATGATTGAGATCGAATGACTGAGGTTGACTTGAACGATTCAATTCATTACCCTTCGATAGCTCTGGCAACCCCGGTTTCACGTTCTTTCTTTGTACATACCAAATTCGAAGTGGACGAGTTCGTTGACATATATAAAACATTATTTTTCTTCTTTGTGGTGGATTTCATAAGGCAATAATTGGGCGAACGAATCGCCAACAACGAGTGAGAGTTGAAGCGCCAAGTTGGCTCTGTAAATCAAAAACGAAAATACCCGAAGCTGATTGAAAGTGTTGCGGAAAACGGAAACAGTTCGGAAATAGTATGTTTATGGGAGCATCAGAAGTAAGTAAAATTCACTAAAATGATGTATTTATTTAATGACACCCTATTATTGGATTACAAAAAAAACTCATTTATTGTATCGTTAGGAGCGAGATTGTTGATATTTTGGTAAAGTAAAACCACAAGTATAATGCTGAATGACCCAGTGGTCCGACTAACCTCACTTTTTCGTAACAAATCACAGCCCGCATGATTGAATCGTAGCTGATAGTTATTAGACCAGGGTCGATAATTTTTGAAACCAACAAAAATAACAGTGTGATGAAATCCATTAGAAAAGGAGGGAAATATGATAAAAATGAAAGGAAAAATAAACTAGGGGCGATCTGAGGTCGGGAAGTGGAAGGGGGTGAGTTTTTAAGGATAAAAAATGGTTTAACTCGATTTCCGGCAAAACTACAAGTCTTACGGAAAAATGGTATTATCTCCATTATTTATAATTTTAATTTGACGTTGAAAATAGGGTTCCGCGCGGCTGTTACGGCATGCGCGCGCTGCCGCTAAAGAGAGTTTATCAAAAGAAATAATTTTTTACAACATAAAATGTCATTTCAAATATTTGAAAAAAATCTAGTATCTTCTTAACACTTGAATNAAAAAAAAACTATATCGCACATATTCTATATAGGATACACGTTTACATATTTACTTATATATTCATTCAAAACAAAGTCTTAGTTATTATTATATTTCAAATATAAATTAGCTTTAATTCAGTTTTTCGTTATGAATGTTACCAAGTCCCTCTTGAATTCATTTTTATTAGGAATAAAGCCAGCAAACAAATAAATATACAATAATAAGATCGCTCGAATCCACAAATTGAGCATAAAAATGGACAATAATATTTGCCTTGATAACTGATACAGTACAAGTTATATCTAAATATGATTCTAAATAGAATTAAACGAACTGTATTTTCAAAAGGTTTTCGAATGCTCATGAGCCCTAATAAAATAAATCAATTATGCATTCATGCCACCCACCAAAAATAAGAAATTCAACGTTACTGGTATATTAGCCATATTGTCATCCAATCAGCCAGCGCCCTCTGTAGTGTATGCGACAATATGCTCTTTCTAATGTCATTGGTTTTCACAAACTTCGTATTTTTTTTTAAATAATTGTAAAAAATGAATGTTGAGCCTAGTTTTGTTAAAGCTGACTCCCGACAAATTACCAAGAGTCGATTTTGAAATGATTGATGAATTTTACTTGAAAAATTTGCAATACTTGGGTACCGAAATGAATAATGAAACATTGAAACGGTAGGTGGTATATTTAGTAGGTCCCTTTTATTTATGACATTCATTTCAGACTTTGTCTTTTATCGAAATATGAAAAGTTTTGATTCAATTTTTATTTTATCTCGGCCAAGGAGCAGTATGGTGACTGAAAAGAGAAGCAAAAATATGTATAGTGAAATGTAGAATTACTCCAAAACATGTCAATCCAAAAATAACCTGAAAAAATATTTTTCGGAATGTAAACCAATGACACGGAATATGCAGCCAAATAGGCACCCGCCGAGACCTACCTTTAACAAAACAAACTGTCTTCAATTAGATAATGGGGAATATCCCTCCTGACGAAAATCAAGTAGTTTTCATAAAACAACACATTTTAAACTTATCATTTTAAACTTTTTCTTTAAAAAATTATTTTAATACTTGAAAAAGAGGAATGAAATAATGCATTCAACATTTAAAGGGATTACTTTCTATTTCACCATTTGGCATTTGGCAGTTATAGCTAATAAAGGAAAGTGAATCTGTTACCTGTATGAGACAAACAAAGATGACATATTTCAGAGGCGTGCTGTTCTGTTTACTTATGTTCCGAGTTCCGAGACATTCTAGATAACAAAACAACTGTTATGTGGCTTGTGAAGGTGGTATTGAACTATAATTTATATTTTGCCTCAATTGTTGATTTATAAAGATGATTTTCCTTTTTTAAAGTAGAATATCTAGGTATGTATAAATTATTTCAACTTGATATAGGCGCTGTTGCCAATATGTGAATTAGAAACAAATCCCTTTAAATCGTCTGTCAAATTGGATCATCAGATCTATGATTGGATATTAAAAACCAATACACTTGGCAACTCCGCTCTAGGCACGATCAACAGACACGCGGCCAATTTAAATTCTTGCTTTTCGAATCAGTCTATAAGCAAACCAGTATCATTTTCCATAGCATGACACAAGCCCATTGTAGGGATCATTATTTAAATCAATACTGGCTAAGGTTTCACAAGCGTTGTGGTATAGTGGCTGGTCAAACTTTACGAACACAATATTTTGCTCTTGTTTTTGGCATGTTTAGCCGCTTCTATACCAACGATGTAAAAATGGTATCATAATCACTCGGTGGATTTTTTGTGAACGGCACAGGAATAATGTTTGTAGAATAATAAGTCAAATTAGTGTGTACCTTTTTCATGAACCCATTCCAACCATCGGATTTGTTGTTTGCAAATTTGGAATGACACCATGGAAAATGTGCCCCTTTCCATTTAATTTTGTGTCCCAGATGGCGCCCAGTCGCCATCTTGATAGTTTCATCTGTCAATTTCACTTAAAAATAAAGTATTCATGCATGAATATCACAAATTTCAATTTTTTGAGTTGACTCGTTCAAATAATAAAGGGGGAGGGCATTAAAGAAATGCACTGTATATCGTAATCGAATGCGCTAGAGAATTTCGCCGAAATTCCATCGAAGACGGTACCATTATTCTTGCTGCATCTAGAGCGGCCGAACATGTACATTCGCGCGCTCTTAGCTACGTCACGATTGGTTTATGGCTACCAGTGGCGGCCGGCGTTATTTTCTTTGGGGCATGATTTACAACAATACCTATCATGTTTTCATTAAAAATTTTAATTTTCTCATTTCCTCCCTGGTCAAATCGCCCCATTCTCACTTTTTTCCATTTTTTCAGACATGCTGTGGTGAGATGAGCAACAAAGACGAATCGAAGATATGTGCCGCTTAAAGCGATGGACTCATACGACTTGTTCGGAGAAGATGGCAGTGGAATGTTGGAGGGCCTGTCAGATCTCGGCGGTGGCGGCACAGCAAGTGCGACGGGCGGCTTCGACCCAGCCGCGGTGACTGGCGCCTCATCGAGAAATGCAACTTCCCTGGCCTACACCAGTACACAGCAGCAGTCCGCCTACTCTCAAGAGACGCCCCTCCAAAAATTGGCTACTTTCGGCGCCCCTCCAGACTTCAACCACATGGATCCAAACTCTCAAAGCATGTATGCCCAGGGTTATGGGACTGATAGGCCTATGGGACCTCCACCCGGAGCGGCCTATCAGCACCAGAGGCAGATGGTGAGGCCCCCTACTGGTGCTGCCCCCTCTCAGTACCCTTATCAGACAGATAACATGTATTCGATGCCTGATGTACAGGTAGGCGTTTTATTATGAATAAACAAATATAATTGGTTTATTTAAACAAATCATTAAAAACTACTTACATGTGACAGACAGATTCACGTTGCAGACTCTCATGGAAGTTTGAGTAGACGTTGAATGTTATTCCTTGACTAGATATTCAACACAGGCTAGAATTATGATTGTAGAGGGTGTTTTTTATAGAGGTATAGAACTTTGAAATGGAATAAAACAAAGATGAATTTTTATAAAATAATTAATTTCTACTTTTATTAGATATCAATAAAATTTATTTTCTAAGCGCACATTTTTCAAATTCTGTCCGTTAGACCCCAAGTACGGATTATCTAAAACTGACAGCAAATACAGGGTGTTGCATTTAAAAGAATTACCGATGACGTCATCACATAATATGGATCATCCTGTATAATGAAATTTTGTTGTAGAATGTAGAATATTAAAATTAAAAATCGACGTGTTTCAGGTTTTTGTAAAACGACTTTTGGTTTTGGAAATATCGAATTTATTCCATACTTTGCAGACACACTGTATGCATATGATGAAGTGAAGAAGACGAAAAAAACAAAATATACATGTCTGACAAAAGACAGAGTTAGTCCTTTATCAGCAGAAGTTGAAAAGCAGTGCTTCTCCACATTGAATTTTGAGGTATTTCATGTTAATTTACCTTCACTTCTGAATAATTACCACTGTGAAATGTGATCTGTCTATGATTTTCTACATAACTAGATATTAGATTTGAGTCCAATCAAGTTCTGTAACAGAATATCATGCGATACACAATCAGATTCAAGCAATCAAGACAATAATTTATCATCATATTAACAAACGTGTAATTTTGCGGGTGAAAAAAATTTAGCTGATGTAGGTAACTGTGGAATTGAGTAGTCATTGTAATGGGAGGTACATCTCACAGCTCCTAAGTTAGTACTTGAAACAAATCAACAGCACTTCATCACTTTACAATTATTTCACTGGTTTACTTCGCTTGCTGTCGCTGTTGTGCTGTTTCCAAACTGTTGCCTCAATCTTCACAAGAACTGAAATGAAAGGCGAAGTTTCCTCCATTCTTCTTTGATATTGTTCACCTGCTCATTGATTTGTTGATTTCTAAGACTGCATTCGCCCACTTTTCACATTCGCGACATTGCCTTGTCTTCTAGTTCTTCCGTTCTAGATAACTCTTCTGCTGCTTGAAGTAACCAATGATTGGGATTCTTAACATAATACGTAGTCAGTCGTTCTTGTCTGTATTTTGGGTTAAGTTGGATGTGATAAATCACATCATTTGTTCTCTTAGTCACCAGATAGAGGCTTTTCCATCTCCTCTCAGGTCTGGGGTTCGTACAACTACAAAACATCTCATCTTCTGAACTGGTTTCCGATTTTTTATTTGGCAATTGCAAACATCTGTAGACCTTGTCTCAATAATTCATAGAGTCCCCCCTCCACTTACTTTATGATTTTACTAACTCTGTGATCGTTTTCTAAGTTCCTTACTAGGAGGCAAGTCAAGTAGTAGGTTTGTGATTTCGTCCTCCTTTCAGTTATGAGCATATTGGAACAAGTTTTTTTTAACTTTAAGGTTTTTAACATTGTTAAGGCTTGGTGAATTTTCATATTCAGCGACATATTATTCCAAATATATAGTTCTCATTAGGAACATGTACATTTCACTTCTTCAAACTAGAATACATCAGTAGATGAGCAAGATGTACCTTCCAAATATTTTTGAGATAGATATAAACTATCATTTTCAATATGTAACACGTTTTTTTTCGGTGTCATTTCTTTTCGAGTTTGAAAGCCGTGGATTTTTGGAATTTCTTCCTGACGTTTCGCTAGCGTGAGTGGCTGGCTTCTTCAGAGGTTTAACCCCATTTTAAGGAATTCGAGAATAACGAACAGGACAACGGGCAGCAAGATTGTTAATGTTCCAAGTTCAAGTGCAGGAACGAGTACAGGTACAAATGCAGGTACAAATACAACCGATTACCTGACAAGGAATAAATACGCTTTACGAAGCCGAAAAGGTAGTCATCGGACAGCAAGCCATGATGGTTAAACCTCTGAAGAAGCTAGCCACTCGCGCCAGCGAAACGTCAGGAAGAAATTCCAAAAATCCACGGCTTTCATACTCGAAAAGAAATGACACTGAAAACCTCAGCCGTGAAAGTCTAAACCATGATGTTTTTGTTATTTGTTGTCCAATATTTGAATAATCATTTTTCTTTATCAAAGAATCTACTAATTTTGATTATATTTCACAAAAAACAGCATGCATCTTATCTAAGATTTACTTTACGTAGTATAATTTGGATACTTTATCTATGAGTCGCACCTGTCAACTGAAACTACTCATTATTACTTGTTTACTGATATCTAATTCAGTTGCAAACATTCACAAGTACTACAAATATAATTAATATGTTTATGAAAAGTTTGTAAATCGTTTATATGTCACATTTCAATCAACTGTATAGGTGAGCGGCATGGGAGAACCAACAAATATGCAAGCAGCAGTCGCTGCTGGTTGGGGCCAACATGCTGCTGCCGCCGCCGCAGCTGTAGCAGGATATCCTGGGATGCACAGATATAGCCAGATGAGCCAGTATCGTCAGCAACCAATGAGTACCTATCCTCATCAGCAAGAACCTAAACAACAGTTTCCTACTGCACAACATCCCATGATGCAACAGTCTCATCAGGCAACTTATCAAATGCAGCAAAGACATACACCGCACTACCCTCAAGCTACTTCTGGCTATCCTTCAACAGCTTCAAGTCAAAGCTACACAGGATACATGCACCAGAGACTGCCACACCACCACCAATACCCACAATCACACCACCAGATGGACATGGCAGCCGTCTCACAAACACAACAATATACTCAAATGGGTCACAGTCAAAGCTTGGCTCACACAGGACCTTCAGCAACACACATGACTCAGACGCCCCACCCAGTAGGACATGCGCCAGCACAAAGTCACACGACTCCACAACCACAACAAACCCCCAATCCCATGGGGCATCCAAGTTCTATCAGCTACACTCAGAGTCATCAGAGCATGCAGTCGATGCAGAGAGCTATGGAAGTACCACCTAGCCCGCAGCAATTTCAGGCCAAGCATTCAGCAATGCCGATGGGAAACGTGAGTCCGCAATACCGGGCGTCCTTCCCTCAATTGTCACCGCAAATGTCGCCAAGACCACAGATGTCTCCTCGACCACCGCCTGCTTCTCAAATGTCTCCACGTCCAGTGATGTCGCCAGCCAAACCAAATATGTCACCACTTCCTCCTGCGATGCAACAAACTACGCTGAGTCCTAGACCTGCTAATAGTTTAACTCCGAAGGTTACTGCCCCTTCACCTGCTCCAATGCCCCCTTACTCACAACAAAGTACTCTTCAAGCTCTTGAGCAAATGGTTATGCCTCCTTCGAGTACTAATTCAACCGAGTACCCATCGTATCAGGCAAGGACTACCTTAGGTCCTCCTGGACAGCAGAATCCCCTAAGCCCCGCTATGGGCTTGAGAAACCCTATGCCTGAACATCAATGGCCTCCTGTTCAGCCAAGGCAATCTTCACACATGTCTAGCTTGAATGGGCCTATGGGTTTGATGGAGCAAAATCCTGTACCAACAAATCAGTCGATACCGCCAACACAGTCTTTACCTCCTTCAAGCTTATCGAACTCACAAATGCCAGCTACGCCAAGTTTAAATGTTGGTTTTGGCAATGACGAATTGAGAAGTGATATTAATAAACCTAGCACATTACCAGATATGTTGGTAAGAGAAAAGGAATCGTCCATTCCTCAGAGTATACCAGTGAGTCAGAGCGAATTTTCATCCGTACAGTCACCAACGACCAGCTTACCTGATAAAATGCCAAGTAGTACGACAAATACTGAAATGAACATACCCACTTCAACACCATCAGCATCATCCCATCCGCCAACTCCGACTCCTACATCTACTACTGATGACAATATCAACAACATTCAGGAAACCAGTCTTCCTTCTAACAGTGACTCTGTGAAGCAAATTGATGAGTTGAGCAATACCAGCTCTACATCGCAACAACAGACTCCAAGTCAGAGTAGCACAACGAATAATTTCACGGACTTCAATTGCGTTTCTAGCATGACAGGTTACCCTAGCCAACCAGCAAGTCCCAAAACGACTAAAATAGACGATCTGGCTCAGTCCAATGTCTCAATGTTCAGTCAAGATAACTCAGTTTCTCAAGAATCATTAGCAGAATCTAATAAGTCGGACCATAGTTCGATACACTCACCTAGACAACAGTCGCCTAGAATACCGTCGCCCAGATTGCAGTCACCAACGTCTCTCAGCCAGACTTCAATACCTTTGTCTTCGTCAATGTCAAGCATCCAGAAAGATAACCGCACCAATTCATATAGTATGAACCAACTTGTTTCCACACCATCACCAACTCAATCTCATTCAATGCTAATGAGCTCTAATAGGCTTTCTCCAATTTCTCTCGGTCATAATATGACACCAAGTCAAATTCCAACCTCTCAAATGTTGCCTAATATATCACAACATCTGAGCAGTATACAAAACCAAAGTAAACAAAGTCTTCAACAGTCTAATCTAGGAATAGGACAGCAGAATCAATGTTCCGGAGTAAGTTCCCCCACCAACAGAAACAGTATAGCAAGTCCACCACCTAGTATTACATCAATGCAAAATGTTATGACTAGTTTGCCTAACCAAAATATTTCTAGTCAGAGCAGTTTGTCTAGAATAACTAGTCCAATAACAATGCAGAGCATGACAAATACATTATTACTCGGGACAAATACGTCAGGGCACAGTAATATGCCCGGTCAAAACAGCCATCACATGACTAGTCAGAGTAATGTACCATGTTTTCCTAGCCAAAATCAAATTACTACTCTGTCGAGTATCTGCAGTCCAAATATGTCCAATTCAAATCAAAATTTCCCTTCGGTATCTGCATCTAATAATGTTCCATCACTGTCTGGTCAGACCAGTATGCCGTCACATCTTCAGAACTTGGGTTCACAGAACATTTCTTCAATCGCTAACCAAAATATATGCCCTTTGCCTGGACAAACTAATCTGACAAGTCAAAGCAACGTTCAAAGAATTCAATCGCCTCCGATACAGACAAATATTTCTATGAACACTGGAACGCAGAACATGCAAGGTCAAAAAATTCTAACACCGCCGGCCACGCCTCTGGCACAGCAGGGATCACTTCCACAAGCTAGTCTGATTCCACATGGACAATTGCACAATCCTGGCCTGTCATCATCACACAGTGCGCTTGGTTCAATGCCACCCAGTAGTAAACCAGGAGGGGTTATGTTTGACCCAAACAGTCAGATGATTGGTCCAAACGGGATGCCCCTAAATACAAATAGAGGCATGACCCCTGGAATGCCTCCACATGGATTATCTTTGGGACACACTGGAATGCCTTTGGGACTTGGTGGACACCCAGGATTGATGGGTACAATGACCGGGATGATACCTGGACAAGAAATGTCAGGCTACCAAACGCCCATTAGTCACCACCAAGAGAGAGCTGCTTTGCAACAGCAATTGCAAGAATTGTATTGCATGCCTCCAGGGCAAGAACATCAGGAAAAGATAGGGTATCTTCAAGAAAGATTAAATATTTTAAGTCAACATGAGGCAAGTGAACAATGCAATGGAGGTCCCCAGTGCATTCTTCTGAGCCCCTTATTTACAACTCCTATGATAGACAGCCCGCAAGTTACCAGTACTACTGGAAGAGGTAGAGGCAAAGGCCCCCCGAAGCCTAGAAAACCCCGGGCAAAGAAAGGCGAAAAGGTCGCCTCTCCTATTCAAATATCTTCTATGAACCCAATGATGCCTTTGGGTTTACCTCCACCTCAACAGCTGCCGGTTTCTGAAGATTTCGTAACTCCAGGCGCTGGACTGAGTATACCATCTAGTGAAATGTCTGACTTCAGTGAAGTAGGAATAGATCCATTAACAGGTGAACCTGAGAAAAAAAAGAAGGGGAGGAAACCCCGGGGACCAAATAAGCCAAAAGAACTGAAGGATCCGAACTCCCCCAAAGAAACAAAAGTTCCAAAAGAAAGGAAGAAACGTGAACCAAAAGAACCTAAAATCAAAAGAAAGTATGTTAGGAAAAAGAAACCTGGCGAGTCTGAAGAAAGTGCCACAGATGAGTCTTTCAACAAATCGGCGGAGAGCATAGAAGACATGTCTATGACCATGACCGAAAATCCACCAGCCGAAACCGTTGAGGCAGAGGCTGAAGCTGAGGCAGCGACTCCAGTTGAGGAGAAACTTGAAACCCCTGAATCAAACGTTCAACCAGAGAGCTCAGAAGTCGTTCCAGAACAAGTTTCAGAAAGGCCGCAAGAAAAACCAGAGGAAATGCAGGCTGATTCTCAAACTACCGCCGAAGGAACAGCACTTTCAGAAACAGTTGAAGAAAACAAAAAGGACGAGTATAATTTCGAAGATCAGCCTAGTCCAGAAATAGGAGAGCTTCCTAAAAGAAGTAGAAAGCCTAGACATCAGCAACAGAAAAAAGTTATTTCCACTAAAACTCGAACAAGAAGAAGTGCTGGCCAAGGGCGTAGGCGCCGAGGAACCATCATACCAGAGTCGGATCCTGAAAATGAAGACATGGTTTCAACACCTCCGCCTTCTCCACCTGATGACGCTGAGAATTCATCGAAGCGTCGATCAGCAAGAAACACGCAGAGGAAAAAGTACATTGATGATGTTATGCTCAGATTTTCTGATGATGACGCCCCTGCTACACCAACTCGAAGTAGGAAACCTCCAGTTCCTACGACTCCTATCATTACAACGCCTGTTGCTATTACTAATCCACCTGAAACGTCACCATCCGTTGCTCAAGAAGAAAGTACATCTTCAACAATTGATCCCAAAAGTCAGATGAATTACGTGTATGTTAATACTGCAGAAGAAGATTCTATGGTCGTTCAGTATGTATTGTGTGCGAGAATGACCAAACGAAAAATGAAGAAGGAATTGAAGATGCACGATTTGAAAGATGAAGAGAAAGGAGATGGAGACTTATCGGAGGACGAAGAAGAGAGAAAGGCAAGACTGAGAGAGAAATTGAAGTTTGATACCACAAAGTCACTTGAAGATGAAACTGAATTGGTGGATGTGGAGGAATATTATGTCAAGTATAGAAACTTTTCATACCTTCATTGTGAATGGAAGACTGAAGATGAGCTTTACAAAGGCGACAAACGCATAGCTAACAAAATTAAACGATTCAAACAGAAACAAGCTCTGCAGTTGAATATCTTTGAAAATCTGGAAGAGGAACCGTTCAATCCAGATTATGTGGAAGTTGACAGGGTGTTGGATTTATCAGAGCACACTGATGCAACAACAGGAGAAACTGTAAGACACTATTTAGTGAAATGGCGAGCTTTACAATATGAGGATTGCACCTGGGAACTCGAAGAAGATGTAGATCCATTGAAAATTGAACAATTCAAAAAGTTCAACAAAGTACCACCGAAAGATACTTGGAAAACTAAAAAACGACCAACTCCCGAGCTTTGGACGAAATTAGAAAAATCTCCAGTTTATAAGGGTGGCAACAGTTTGAGGGAATACCAACTTGAAGGTTTGAATTGGTTGCTGTTTTCTTGGTTCAACAGTAGAAATTGTATATTGGCAGATGAAATGGGCTTAGGAAAAACCATTCAAAGCTTGACTTTCCTTAATTCTGTGTGGGAATTCGGCATTCGAGGACCCTTCTTAGTTATAGCTCCACTTTCAACGATTCCAAATTGGCAGAGAGAAATTGAGAGTTGGACAGAAATGAACGTGATAGTGTATCACGGTTCAGCTACCAGTCGAAATATGATTCAGGAATACGAAATGTACTACAAAAATGACAAAGGTCAATTTATTAAGGATATAACAAAGTTCAATATCGTCATTACCACTTTTGAAGTCATCGTTACAGACTTTGCGGACCTAAAGGGCTTCAACTGGAGAATATGTGTCATAGATGAGGCACACAGATTGAAAAATCGAAACTGCAAATTGCTGGAAGGACTGAGACAATTATCTATCGAACACAGAGTGTTGCTGTCTGGCACGCCCTTACAAAATAACGTAAACGAGCTGTTTTCTTTGCTAAATTTCCTGGAACCGACACAGTTCACAAATTCCGAAGCTTTCCTTCAGGAATTTGGCGCCTTGAAAACCGAACAAGAAGTACAGAAATTACAGTGCTTATTGAAACCGATGATGCTGAGAAGATTGAAGGAAGATGTAGAAAAATCACTTGCTCCCAAAGAAGAGACTGTGGTTGAAGTAGAGCTTACCAACATTCAAAAGAAATACTACCGTGGTATCTTAGAAAGAAACTTTTCGTTTCTCACGAAAGGCACAACGTATTCGAATATTCCTAATCTAATGAATACCATGATGGAGCTGAGGAAATGTTGCATTCATCCTTATTTGCTGAACGGCGCGGAAGACCAAATATGCTATGATTTTAAAAATCAGCACGGTGAAGATCCAGATACTTACTACAAGTCTTTGATACATTCCAGTGGTAAAATGGTTCTAATAGATAAATTGCTACCTAAGTTGAAAGCGAATGGACATCGAGTTCTAATTTTCAGTCAGATGGTTAAATGTCTGGATATATTAGAGGACTACTTGATGTACAGGAAGTATCCGTTTGAACGCATCGACGGAAGAATCAGGGGTAACCTGAGACAAGCGGCTATCGACAGATTTTCCAGACCTGACTCGGATAGATTTGTTTTCTTGTTATGTACTAAAGCAGGAGGGTTAGGAATCAACTTAACAGCCGCAGACACAGTCATCATATATGATAGTGATTGGAATCCTCAAAATGACCTGCAGGCTCAAGCTAGATGCCATCGAATAGGTCAAATGAAAATGGTGAAAATATACCGACTATTATGTAGAAATACTTACGAGAGGGAAATGTTTGACAAGGCCTCTTTGAAGTTGGGTCTGGATAAAGCAATATTGCAAAGCATGAATACCACTCAGGGTGGAAAGGAAACCGGTACTAGACAACTGAGTAAAAAAGAGATTGAAGACTTGTTGAAAAAGGGAGCTTACGGCGCTTTGTTAGAAGAAGAGGACGGAGATAATTTCTGCGAAGAGGATATAGACGTTATTCTCGCGAGAAGAACTCAAGTCATTACCATGGAATCCGAGAAGGGGTCCACGTTCTCCAAAGCCAGCTTTGCATCCAGTGCTAACAGATCTGACATCGCGATTGATGATCCAGATTTCTGGAACAAGTGGGCTAAAAAAGCTGAAATTGACACGACGGAAAAGGATGAAAGTGAAGACTTGGTTATATCTGAACCACGGCGGCGAACTCAGATCAAACGTTACGGTCACGATGAGAGTGCTATCGACATGTCTGAGCTGGAAAGTTCCTCAGACTCGGATCCTGACAATGAAGGTCTCGGAATGGGCATGAGAAGTAAAAAAAATAAGCTGAGGAGGAGGAAGTACAGGCCTGACGATTACATACCCAGAGAAGGCGAACCCAGGGGAGACATTGTTTACGGAAGCTGGGCCAGAAGGGAGTGCTTCATGGTGGAAAGGGGCTTGCTCACTTTCGGGTGGGGAAGATGGCAGGAAATTTTACTTCACTCTCAGTTGAGGAAGGGCTGGAAGGAGCAAGACGTAGAAGATTGTGCTAGAGTAATAGTAAGTACCTTTATTATAAGCTAAGACAACAGGACATACAGGTTGTTCCTTAATGATATGCGAATATTGTAAATATACAAGAAAAGTTTACATTTTTCAATATAGAATAAAGAAAATACTTTTGTCTAGATTCTACTGTGTTTATTTATTCGTTACGACCGGTTTCGGCTTATAAGGCCATTTTCAAGTAACTACCACAAATTGTCAAGTTGCGTCTTAAATAGTGTGGACAGGTATCTGCTCTAGGTACCTGACCTAACACGTTACCAATATTACAATATGTCACGATTACCAACTATTGGATGGATCCTAAAATTCCCCACGAAATCATTCTCCGATGAAGTCAAAAAGTCCTTGGAAAAAGCAAAAATGCTGTTTCCCACTCCCTGGGATGTTAAGAAAACAATTTATATGAATCCCCAACCTCCAGAGATGTTCGGTTTGATTAAACTTCATAAACAAGGCAACCCCACCAGACCAGTCGTATCCTACATTGACGCCCCAACCAGTAAGTTGTCAAAATTATTGAATTCTAAGTTCAAAATTTACACCAACAAATACCGTGATAAATTCCATAGACCTGGTCAATAAACTGGCCAATATTAACAACATCAATGACATTAATAAAAGATAAAAAAAAAATACAATGGAAGAAATACTTGAACAATAATACAACAGAACAATATGAAACATATAAAAACCGAAGAAAACAAGTAAAAACATTAGTTAATAAAGCAAAAGAAATGTCATGGATTGAATTCGGTAATAAACTAGAAGAAGATAGTAAAAGTAACCAAAAACTATTCTACAAAGCACTAGAATCCATGAGATCAGATAAACCCGTAAAAGACATACAAATCAAGAATTCAAAAGGTGAAATAATTACAAACGAAATAGATATAATGAAGAGATGGAAAGAATATTTCCAGACACTACTTGGAAATTGGTTGACTGAGTTGAATAAAAACACAATAGCAACTTTAATGTCTCCCTATGTAGCGTAGAGTTTTTCGAGAGTTTTTTTTTTTAATTTTTAGGTACCTATTCTTATTTTTTCCATTGCTCTGAGCGTTTTCTACAATGAACTTCGAAAAGTAAACCTTTTATGATTATTTGAAACATATCTACATCAAAAATATATTATATGTGTTTTAATGAGCAGAAAAAAAATTATAGCAATAATAACATTCGAAACGAACACTATAATTGTAATGGAAATTGAAATGAAGTAATTTATATAGGTACCCAAAAAAATTATTGGTGCAATAAATGTTCGAATTGGAGCTATATTCGATTTCTTTACATCATTGAATAGGTCTCTAAAATACATAACTTTGCCACAATTTAACCGACACTCTATCTTTTATTGTTTACGAGATCCCCATGTACAGAAATGAATTTGAATAGCCCTGTATATACAGTGTATCCGCAAAGTATGGAATAAATTTGATATTTCCAAAACCAAAGGTCGTTTTAAAGAAACCTTAAACACGTCGATTTTTTATTTTGATATTCTACATTTTACAACAAAGTTTCATTGTACAGGGTGATCCATATTAATGTGATGACGTCATCGTATTTTTTTTGTAACGTGTTAGGTCAGGTACCTAGAGCAGATACCTGTCCACACTATTTAAGGTGCAACTTGACAATTTGTGGTAGTTACTTGAAAATGGCCTTATAAGCCGAAACCGGTCGTAACGAATAAATAAACACAGTAGAAACTAGACAAAAGTATTTTCTTTATTCTATATGCAACATGAATTTCTACAAAATAAATAAGTAATCAATCGAACAAGTTTACATTTTTCACTAAATTATTTCCAACTTCAACAGTGGCGTGGGTATAGGAAACGACTTCGATATTTTTATTCATTTATATGTGCGGTTTGAAACCGCAATACCCTGTTATTTTGGAACCCATGAATCGATTTTGAAAAATGACAGTTTCAAATTGTGACACTCGACGACCTCTATCCAAATATGTTGACAGATATGAATTTATTCTCATTTTCAGGGCTTACTATGACCTGCAAAATGGGTCAAAATTTCGAGAAGGACCATTAGGCATTTTTTTATCAGAAATATGATACAGTTATATGATGACAAATTTCCAAATCCATTATTTTTTGACTGACTTTGTATGACATTTTATGAACTTCACAGAAAAGATGAAGTAACCATTCAATGGTTCCCATACTCAGCTATATACAAGTTACATATGTTGTAATCGATTCATGGAGTTGTCTCTAGTTCCATTAAAATCAACAAATCAAGAGTTGAAAACGTGTTTTTGATTTTTGGAAAATAACCAACAACAGAAATAAATTAAATGGCAAATAGAACACTTTTTAGATATTTGAGTTTTCAATATATTCTTGTCGTCTCAAATTGTGGCGGGTCTGCCTTAATTGGCCTGGTGTTATTTCACCATACTTTTGCCTTATCTTCTCACTCAATTCTTTCAAATTTCGTGGTCTATTTCTATAAACACTTTCTTTCAAATATCTCCACAGAAAATAACTAATGGAGTCAGGTCTGGTGATCGAGGGGGCCAACAAATAAAGGATTGGTTCCTTCTAATCCATCTTCCTTGTAATTTTTATCACAATATTGCCTCATAGCAATCTCATTGTGAATAAAGGCACCGTCTAGCTGAAATTTAAAAATTCTGCGTTCTTCCATGCTATTTTTTGTGAATATTTCCTTTTTGTTTTTACAAACATTTAGGTATTTCAGGGAATTAGAATTGATATTACACAAATTTGAAATTAAATGGAAGTTGTTGCAAATGCTGAAGGTACAAATTGGTTCTGGCCAATCAGTCGGCAGTAAAAAAGTGTTGTACTTCTAGTTCTAAAATGAGGCACACAGAAATTTATAAGAGATAACACCTCCAAAGCATCCCCATTGCTGTGCAGTCATTTATATAGAAAACCAGCAAGTTTTCTGCGTAACTCAAGACTTTCTATATTGAATGTGATTGTAAGAAATTCATCTCAATTAAGTGTCACTGCCTAACTAATTCAAAAAGAGAAGAAAGATCAAATTCAGTAAGATAAACATTCTTCAATAATTTCTTGGACAATACAAATTTTCTGCGTAACTCAAGACTTTCTATATTGAATGTTATTGTAAGAAATTCATCTCAATTAAGTGTCGCTGCCTAACTAATTCAAAAAGAGAAGAAAGATCAAATTCAGTAAGATAAACATTCTTCAATAATTTCTTGGACAATACAAGGTTTTTCGAATATTGCAGTAGTTTTACTCCAATACCAAACCTTTATTTTATCACCTCAATACGTGTTTCGATCACCAAGTGATCATCTTCCTATCCTATCGAACTTTGCAAAACTTTTCGAAATTGTCATCTACAATCGCGTACATTCCTCAGTTCGTAATGTCATATCTCCGCAACAACATGGATTTATGTCAAGCAGATCCACCATAACAAATTTAATTGTATTGACCCAAAATTTTAGTGATGTTTTAGATACTTGTGGTCAAGTTGATGTGATATATATTCTGATTTTGCTAAGGCATTTGATTGACTAGATCACATGATCCTTCTACAAAAACTCCACCAATTTGGTTTCCATAATTCAGCGGTACTTTTCATTAAATCCTACTTACTCAAATGCGAACAGTTTGTATCTTATAACGTCTATGATTTTTTTTATTACAATTCTTCATCTGGAGTACCTCAGGGGCCGAATCTCGGGCCACTTCTGTTCTTATTATTTATTAATGACCTCAGTATTTATGTCGATTGTAATAAGTTATTTTTTGCAATTTTCATTAAACTGAAATTTAGAAATATATTAATAGTTCTCATGGCAAACACGACAATTTAGTTTCATGCATAATTTTGATATTTGCTCAGACCAGCCCAAATATTCATTAATGTAAACACCTAATAATTTAGTACAAGGAGCATCTCTCTCTTTCTATTTTTCATATTTATGCTTGATGGACGTTCTATCTGTAGCTGTCTTGGACGAAACAGGATCGTATTAGTTTTCGATTCATTAAGAATCAATTTATTACTTTCAAACCAATGTTTGGTGTCGCCAAATAGATTACTTGCATTTTGCATAAGATCAGGAAAATTATCACCACTGCATAAAAGGTTTGTGTTATCAGCATAATTTGTAATAAACTGGTATTCTTCAATACTGGTTGAAAATTATGAAAAATATTGGACCGATAATACTACCCTGAGGTATTCCGATATTTGATGATGATATTTCAGATTTATACATTTTTCCTTGATTCTTAATGAGTTCCTTCAGTGAGCATTCGTTTCAGAACATTCCCTCTAACACCATATCTCTCAGTTTTACCATCAACAGGTTTCTATCCAAACAATCATAAGCCTTGGAAAGGTCCAAAAACATTCCCAAGGCTAGTGACTTTTTTTCCATGAAATATAATATATTTTGAGTGAACTGAAAAATGGCCGACATTGTTGACCTTCCTTGGATATATGAAAAAACTTGGAGGCCTTTTTTATCCCAAGTTGAATGAGGAGTTTAGCAACCTATCATTTTTCCACGTAGCTTTTCACGCTTGTATATTTGCATATCATTAAAGAACGCCTTGTATAAAAATCTCCGATTGAACAAGCCTCATTTTCGTAACAATGTTTCATCTTTTTTTTTTTAGTTACTCTATTGTTTGAGATTTTATAGAGGCGATGAAAAAATTCGTAGCTTCATTTGGGATTTGATAGCACCATGTGAAGACGGTGGGGAACAAAAGATATCAAGAAACCATCACGGATTGAAAGACCCTGTCCCAAGAGGTATTCGAAATAAACACAAAAAGAAAGACAAAGGAGTCCTCAGCAAAGATTTGAGGCATCCGGCAATAACTGATCCGAATCATTGGAGTAAGAGTGAGAAATATGACGGAGACATATTTTTAGAAAGTAACTACAAGAAACATCTTGGACGTCACGCTAATAAGTAAGAAATATATCTCATTTAATGAATATCCATTATAACAAATTTAAAAAAAAAACACTCCAATGTGAGATTTCCACTTGAAAGTTCACAAAACCGTGACACGTGTTTCGCTTTATAATTGCATCTTCAGGCGCCACAATACTGTAAGTAAGAAACTGAAATTTCGAAACATTGACCTACTCTCCCAAAGTACCTATATCGTAGGTTTTGGTAAATGCCTGCCGGAAAACAACTACTTATTTATTTATTTATTTAACGGCAAAGCCAATTTACAAAAATATATTTAACAAAGTGTGAGGAACTACAAAGTATTTTTGAATGCTCATGTCTGATGTCTACATTACAATTTACAATTTTACAAAACATTTAGCAAAGTGTGAAATACAAAATATTAATAAATCCTTATGTCTAGTGACTATATTACTAAAAGATGAAACAATTCTTGTACTTGCAAGAAAAAAGATGTAACAAATCTGGTACTTACAAAAAAAAATGGTAAGGTAAAGAAAAGCTTTGAAAACGTTATAGCCTTTTCAATTGATTTTTAAAAACCTGAAATGATACATTAAACAGATCTAAGTTATTACAATATTGATTTCCCAGCTTCATAATTCGAGGCATCGGACTGTTCAAAGCATAATTGGTACGGAAACATTTTTTTATGAAAAATGTCAGGATTTCTCGTATTTCTTTGTTAAATATGAAGGTATTAGTTGAAGTAGTTCTGAGCAGTTTATCTCACTATTTATTAATTTGAAGAGAAAACTCAAGTTCATAGAAATTCTCCTATCTTCCAATGATTTTACATTTAACTCGGTTAAGAGTTGACTGTACTCGTATTCATTTTGTTGAATACCAAAGTGAAAAGCACAATTCCTCAAGAATTTCTTTCAAACATTCTCAATCAAATCGATATTTACATTATAGTATGGGTCCCATATAACCAAACAAGATTCAAGAATGGATCTTACGAAAGCACAATATAAAACATATGTGTTGAACAGCAGTGGGCCCATACGGGATCCCTGCGGTACCTCTGATGAATCTGAATGGGCGTAGATGTTGTATCTCCGTATTTTACAGACAGAGTTCTACCAGTTAAAAAGCTATTGATTACTTGCAAAACATTCCTGCCTATAACACTTTTGAAACATACACAAACTAAACTCGATGAAAAAAACTCAATGTTGCAAAAACAGGCAGAATGGATCTGATATGACATACATTTTCGTTGCCGAATAAACCAATAAATTGTGATATGGGTACTCCATTTTCCTGAGAAAATGAACGATCAATTAAAATTTTCTGTAATTAAGAAGAAAAAGAACTTTATTTTAAATGGACAATAATATTTGCCTTGATAACTGATATAGTACAAGTTATATCTAAATATGATTCTAAATAGAATTAAACGGGCTGTATTTTCAAATGTTTTTCGAATGCTCATGAACTCTAATAAAATGAATCAATTATGCATTCATGCCACTCACCAAAAATAAGAAATACAACGTTACTGGTATATTAGCCATTTTGTCATCCAGTCAGCCAGCGCCCTCTGTAGTGTAAGCGACAATGTGCTCTTTCTAAAGTCAATGGTTTCCACCAACTTCATATTTTTGTTAAAATAATTTCAAAATGAATGTTGAGCTTAGTTTTGTTAAAGCTGACTCCCCACAACTTACCAAGAGTCGATTTTGAAATGATTGATGAATTTTACTTATTCATATGACATTCATTTCAGACTTTGTCTTTTATCGAAGGCCAAGGAGCAGTATGGTGACTGAAAAGAGAAGCAAAAATATGTACAGTGAAATGTAGAATTACTCCAGAACATATCAATCCAAAAATAACCTGAAAAAATATTTTTCAGAACGTAAACTAATGACAAGGAATATGCAGCAAAATAGGCACCCGCCGAGACCTACCTTTTACATAAAACCGTTCTTTAATTAGATAATTGTAACAGTTGTATTCACACCTAGTTGACAACAATAACAACAAAAATGGCGTCTGTCAAATTGGATCATCAGATCTGTGATTGGATGTTGAAAACCAATACACTTGGCAACTGCGCTCTAGACATGATCAATTTTATTGGTCAACAGACACGCGGCCAATTTAAATTCTTGCTATTCGAATTTTTTTTTCTGCAAATATAAAGAGATTTTGGGACCGATTAGGCTTGATTAGTATAATATACCCCTAATATTCAAATTCTTTTGGAATAGATATATTCAAGGAAAATTCAATGGCAGCGTGCCAAATACAATTTTTGAAGATTTCATCTAAAGCGCTTTGTATGGAGAAATTATTATTGGAGAATATCAAATCTAAATAAACATTGGTACAATTTGGTATGGAATTCAGTTGGAAGAAATTATGAAAGCTGAACGCTTGGTGAATTGCTATTCCCGGGGAGTTTTCATTACAGTTAACGTTTAAACCGAGATTGTCATTAAACGATTTGGCATCCGGAATATTATAATCGCCACATATAGTAAGGTTTGACTGAGCATAATTGCTGGTAACAAATACAACAGTACTAATTTGCTCTTCATAAAAACTTCCCCGGCTAAAACCACGCTGGACTTTGAATTGTATCAGGCAGGCGTTTATGCAAGATACTTCACAGAGGTTAGTCTTGCAGATGTTTCTCATTCATCCAGCAGCAGGACCGTGGTGAAATTAGTCGGTTTCGAGATATTTTAGTCTCATCAGTGCAGGAAATATACGAACCAAGCTGCAGTGTGCTTGGGACTTGATTAATTTCAACGCAGCTCCACTGCATGCATGAACCTTCGTCTAAGAGTGACAGTTTCATCTCGTGAACAAAGCTGCAAGCTGAGAAGACGCCTGAGGATGCTATCATATACCGAAACACGTGTCGAATGGGAATCGATCGAATGGAAAGTGTTTTTTTTTTTTTCATTATGATGTATCTTTTCAATTCAATAATGTCCAAATTGGGATCGTATTTCTTTTTCCCAAATTAAAGTTCCTATGATGACCATCATGCTAATTTAGAGAATACGCAGGTATTCGATGAAATAAAATTTCTCAATACTGATTTTATCAATATGATATGTATAAAAGTCCAAAAATTTAACTAGAACTAACTCTGATAACATTTCCAGGGTTTTATTGCGTGTAAGAATGCTGTATTATATTAAACACGAAATTATTGGCGACTTGGTGCAGCATATCGCAGATGGAGTCCATGCAAGGTAAGATATTTTTTCTTCAAATAGTTTATCTTCAGCTCCACTGAAAAGTTAAAGTTAATTTTTTGTCGTTCCGAAAATTGAAGCTGTTCTAATGTATTTTTTTGAAACCAACGAAGGTAAGGTTATGTTGTAACTCGACTAATAGAGGACTTAATGCTGAGGCGGCCCATTTGTCTTCTAGGATCTGATTATAATCTGAAGAAAAACTACTGATGTGACTGACGTCTGTTCAGATGGAAGAGAAATGGCCTGCTATAATTTGGCTAAATTATTTAAAATTGTTGGGAGCCCCGCTTTTTATTTTTAACAGTTACATGCATGATTCTGCTTCGAAGTCATGCTAGTTGCTTAGTTGAATTGCCGATTACCGATATTTATTCTTACATGGTTTACTGTCTTGAAGTATGAACACCATTGACTAACTTTTGACTTTTGGTTCGATCAAAAATGTATTTCTTTCAAGTGATGATTTCCATTATAGCAAGTTTTTTCGTATACCAATCTGTTGTAGATAGTCAGCCGGATATATACCGGTACAGGACATGATTTTAAAGTCAAAACGCGGCGCTCTGCCTTCGTTCCGAAATTATGGCCTCCCAAAGATCAAAAGAAGGTCATATTCAACGATCGGGGATACGCATAGTTTTATTTACTACGTCATCTTCACACATTGTCCCACCATGCTTTATACTCTTTCCCCACAAGTGTATTTTTATCCATTTTTTCCAAGGCTTTTCTCTGGTAGGCTATTACGCAATTGACGAATTTAAGGTTAAAAGTTTACGTTGGTGACACTGTTTCACTCTAATATTACAAATTTAAACAGGCTTTGTTTCAATCTAGTTGAACTGAGAGAAAACTTGATTCTCTATTTAATTTTCTATCCAATCCAGCGAATTGTACACTGTGCACGGCAGAAACACAATGCTCCAATTGTTGCAATGATAATAATATGCTTTATTGTCCAAAAAACATCAGGACTTGTTGACAAATCTGCAAATTTTTAAATTTTTGTCGTCACCATACAGCTATATATACAGCTACCTGAATGAGTCATGACAGATGGGAGAAATCGTATCTGCGTAAATTTTGGGTTGTTGTATGACGAAGAATGTATTAGAAAAAAACTTTTGTTGCAATTTTACGTAGTAAGGATTAAGGGGTCAACAATGAATGGATATGAAAATGTCGTTTGGGTTCTTGTAGATATATAAAAAGCAGTTTATGTAGAGGCAAATTCGGGAGAAATAGGTTAGTGCTAAAGATGGAAAGTATCAATATTGTGGGTAAAGCAATTATCTAGATATGAGAAAACAAAAAGTACTTCTGAATAACATAAAATCCGAGGAAATGGGTTTGGGGTGCCACAGGGTAGTATTCTCGGCCCTTTACTATTCTTGATTTATATAAATGACATAGTAGGAAAAGCTGGAATGTGTGAAATCCATCTATTTTTCATCCACAGATCATGGAATTTTGACGCAAACGATAAACTATACAATAAACTGTATTCATAAATGGTGTTGCAGTGATTTACTTAAAATAAATGAAAATAAAACACAATGTATGGTCATTGCAAGAGAAAACCAGATTAAAATACTGCCAAGCCAGAATTTAGAAATCAAACTATGCGGAAATTCATTTGAAAAAGTAAAAACAACCAAATACTTGGGTGTTATAGTTGACTATGGACTAATGTTTAAAGAACATGCAAACTATCTCTTTTAAAGTAAACTTTTTATTCAGATGTTTAAGATGAACAAAAACGGTGATATACAATAGTGTTATACTTCCCCATTTCAACTATTGCTTCACTATTTTATAACTACTGAACCAAAACCAGATTAACAAGGTTGCAAAAACTACAAAACCAATCAATGAGTATCATTTTGTCATGAAGTAGACACACTTCTTTAAAAACCATGTTCGACAGTTTAGGATGGTTAGCAATTGAAGATTATTTGTTATACCAGACACTTATTTTCATTTTAAAAATCAAAACAGAAAGAGCGCCTGAGTTATCATTAGCTTGACACATTATGTATTTGAGGAGCCGCTAAATATTAGTTTATGTTTGTTAATCAGGCTGCATCTAAAATAAAAATTCCAAAGGCCGTCAGAATTTTATGTTTGCAGGAGTATCGACTTTAAGAATTGCACATGAATCTAATAGCTCTTTTCTCTATAATGAAGACAGTCTGCAAATGGGTTTTGCAACATACACCCCAGAAAGGAATTCACTTCAAGTGAACATCAAGAAATAAGTCAGTTTAGCGGCAGACAAACCAGGTTACAATGTGAATGGCGAATTTAAGTTTATTTTCAATTATTACCCCAAACAATTCAGATCTATGTCTGTTTTCATTCAATATTTGTAATCTGAATAAGGAATTGACTAGAAATAGTTATTTATTATTGAAAATATATACATTTTATGTATACTCGCCTCAAAAAACAACTGAATTAATTTAGGTCTTAAACGAATTTGTAATATTTAAGCGAAACAGTCCTACCAATGTAAATTTTCAACCTCACAAAACAGCTCTGACGGGAAATATTTTTTTATTTGTTGAAAAAGATGAATTTGTGCGAAAAAAGTATAAAGCAAAGTGGAACAATGTGTAAACGTTATGTGGCGAATAATATAATGTGTATTTCAATCGTTACACCGTAGTCATGCCTCAGCCACCGTATTCACCAGATTTGGCCCCCTGTGACTTTTTCCTGTTCCCAAGATTGAAGACACCCATGAAAAGACGGCGTTTTGCGACGATTGAGGAGATGAAAACTTTATCACTGAGAGAGCTCAAGAACATACCAACTGCTTAGAGGATTGGAAAAAGCGATGGCGCAAGCATAAATTTATGAATATATAAATATTTTTTGAGAAAAATGAAAATTCACCGTATTTTTTCAACAAACCTCGTAAATAAGAATTGTAGGCCAGTGTGTACTATTTATTACTACCCATGTAAATATTTTTTGAGAAAAATCAAAATTCAACATATTTTTTCAACAAATCTCATATACACATTTAAAATATTTCAGAGGAATGAAATTTCCAATCCTAAATAATACTCCTAAAATTGGTCTGATTTTGTAGCATCTCTATATGAGTATTCAAACAGAGACTTTCATCAATGTACAGACCTGAACATTTTGTATTTTGATACCCAAATTTTCTCTGTTTATGATTTTGTTCTTGTTTTTCCACATTAAAGAAGGGTTTTTATAATTTGAACTCAATTTATGCTAATCTAATCAAGAGGTCGGCAATTAATGCCATTAATCATGTTATTGTAAATTTCTTTAGTATCACTAGAAAAAACTAACTTTCCGAGTCATCCTTGTATGACTCGATATTTCCTTTCAACAATAATTTTGGAATAGAATTTATGTATATCAAAAATGAAACTGGACCCAGAATAGACCCTTGTGGAACTCGGAAAGTGATAGTTTTCAATGAACTGGCATTTTCTCCTAGACACGCAAACTGTTTTTGTTAGGTGATTAATTTTCAAAACATCTGTGAATAATCCCTCGAATACCAGTGATATTCAATTTACGTAATCAATTGAAAATCTCAATTTTTCTTGTTATTTTTTTCAATTAATAATTGTAACATCACTAGGTGAATAAATATTCCCCGATTTAGATTGAATATATTAAGTTGTTTCAAAAGTTTTGTCCGTTTTTATGTCTACTTTAAACTGAACAACTCAGTAGTACTTGTGCTAATTGAGTTGAACTTCGCCTTTTGTTATATCTGCAACTAGCTCTGTAATTTATTTAAATATTTGTATGTAACTACAGCTGGGAAACAATAAAGACGATTATTATTATTATATCTCTGTGAATGCTCATTCAATCCAAATAAGCGTTATTTGAATCAGTGCATTTTTGCAAACCTAACACAAGCCAATCATTTGTTTGAAGCTGATTGACAATGTTTCGTGATGAATTTCACTAGTTCGGACTTCCATTGTCTACTATATAAAATGATTTGAAATCCCTGCAACAAGTAAAAAAGAATAAGANGGTTACAATGTGAATGGCGAATTTAAGTTTATTTTCAATTATTACCCCAAACAATTCAGATCTATGTCTGTTTTCATTCAATATTTGTAATCTGAATAAGGAATTGACTAGAAATAGTTATTTATTATTGAAAATATATACATTTTATGTATACTCGCCTCAAAAAACAACTGAATTAATTTAGGTCTTAAACGAATTTGTAATATTTAAGCGAAACAGTCCTACCAATGTAAATTTTCAACCTCACAAAACAGCTCTGACGGGAAATATTTTTTTATTTATTGAAAAAGATGAATTTGTGCGAAAAAAGTATAAAGCAAAGTGGAACAATGTGTAAACGTTATGTGGCGAATAATATAATGTGTATTTCAATCGTTTTTTTGGTGCCAAAAAAGGTGAAATATGACCTTCTGTTAATTTTTCCGGGGAGAAGACATAATTTCGAAATGAAGGGAGTACAGAGATCTTTTCAAAATCTTTTTCCGGTAACATTCCCCAACATACCTTTTTGATTGATACTACCATTGTTGAAGAATTGGAGATCATGTTCATATTTCATCCATTACATATCACAGCTTAATGCTTATTTTTAACCGTTCATTTTGTTATTAACACTAATAAAACTTCCATTGGTTCCCAACCCCAACACTGAGAAGTGACGGTACGGCACTTGAAAACCAAATTATTTCTTTAGAAAAGTAAAAATTAAAAATGGTGCTCTTCATCTGAGGCATTATTTTTATTTCTTTGAGGACTTCAGAATGGTATTCGCATCTCTTGCCAAGTTTCCAAATAAATTAGGAGCTGGTCTAGCTTTCAAACCTACCTAGCTCGTGCTGTCTGAATATTACGATAGATGTGGAAGCTGTTTTCCGGGTTTGTATACCGTGGTTTTGCAGGTTTTTTGTCTAACGTTTCGTCTACTACTGGGTTAGACATCAAAGGCGGGTATACCGCAATAGTAGACGAAACGTCGCGCATATAAACCTGCAGAGCACGGCCAAAAAACCCGGAAAATGGCTTTCGCATTGTGAAAGTTTACATTCTTTGATCATAATGATTGATGTTTAGTATCACATTTACGATATTATACAGCAGCATGTATATTTTGCCAGCGATTTCCCGAAATCGAGAGTGGAATTTGAAATTTGAGATAACTTCAGTTTCTTCCTGATTTAATTTGCTAAATGTAAGCAGCTTTCGAAGCAGACTTATGCATTGTTAGTTCATAGCTGTCAGTTTTGCATGAATTGATTTGAATCCACAACATAACCTCCAAGCAGTGAAAGCAAACTCGAGTAAAATTGAAAAATTTAGTAATTCCAACAGATCGCAATGAAGTGATTAGGTTGCATTGAACTCTTGAAGTCATAAGAAGGAATGTGTATTATTTATAGCTTAGGCATTATATATTTCAATGTTGAAAAGATGCGAAAATCACGAGAAGTCCTTCGATCTAAATTTCAATAGAGAAATCAAAATTGACAATTGGCATAACATAATTCGCAGTGCCCTGCCGATTTATCCTCCCGTAACGGAGCAATTACCTTGCGTGTGGTGGGATGCGGAATGCGACAAGTCTCTTCTCATTGGCACTTGGAAGCACGGCTATGAAAATTATACGGAGATGCGTGTCGACCCTACCTTATGCTTCCTGTCCCGTTGTGGCCCGCCCTCAGACCGTGAGATCCAGATGGCGTCGACGACTAACGCGCAACCACCTACGCCCGCACCGTAAGTAGTCCACTAGAGTCGTCTACTGCTACAAATATTGCTCTAGTTTTTAATATTTTTTGTCCTGTACTAACCATTGCACGGGCGAGGTGCTTTGAATAAGGAACGTCTAGAGAAATCTATGACTTTGTTTCTAGAGCTATAATTGTAAATCATTCTTATTTAGTTCAAACCAAACGGAGCACTTAACTTCTCCATGGACTAATTTGAGAAATTTTTGGAAAATCTGTTTTATTATGCCGGGTGTAAACCGATTCAGGCTGGCTCCCACAACTTTGATGTCTCGCCTCGTATCAATGTGGAATTTTGGTTCGAATGTTTGGGTCAAAAATATTATTTGTAACATTTTCAGTTCCACAGGAAACACAACACAACAAAAAAATATTTTTTGAATGTCAATTTCTACTAATTTTGGGGTGATAAAAACGAAAATAACAATGAAAAATTTTTATTAGCTCTGGTTTTTGAGATACACAGTACTTAATCTTAAAGAGTAGTTATACTATACGTGAAAAGTGAANTGCTCCCAAGATCTAATGTAGAAATAGAACCGGTAGTTCTGCTTTTATACTACCCATTCATCAACAGTGTTTGGAGCAATATTTCACTTTCATTATACAGTGCATTTCTTTAATGTCCCCCCCCTTTTATCATATTTACAAAATGGTTTTCAATGTCACTATTTTTCGGGTTTGGAGGCCGTCGATTTTTGAAATTTCTTCTTGACGTTTACCTGGCGCAAGCGGCTAGCTTCTTCAGAGGTTTATTTCAAATTCCAAAAATATACGGCAAATAGGCGACAAACCCGAAAAATAGTGACACTGAAGTGGATCATATTATTCAGAAAGATTTCTGTTTGACAAGGATTTTGCTATGTACACCCAAATTTGTTTATACATTTTTAGATTCAGCAGTTCCTTTCACGTACGTATGTATGTTATTTTGGGAAAAAGTACCCAGCGGTACATGTGTCCCGAAAAAAAGCATATCTATGAAAGTGAATCAGTTTCTTGTTGCGTTTTTGTTTATTCCAATGGGAGAACCCATCATGCCTCAGCCACCGTATTCACCAGATTTGCATCCCTGCGACTTTTTCCTGTTTCCAAGATTGAAGATACCCATAACAAGACGGCGTTTTGTGACGATTAAGGAAATAAAAACCGATTGGCTCAGAGAGCTGAAGGACATACCAAAAAGTGCATATCAGAATTGATTCGAGGATTTGCAAAAATGCTGACACAAATGTATTATGAGGGGGGTTACTTTGAAGGGGATGAAATGGAGATTGCTGAATAAAAGAAAATTTTTTGAGGAAAGTGAAAATTCGCCTCATTTTTTGAATAACCTCGTATATACCGTAAATTATTATGATCCAAATTATGGAAACGTGGACGCGTAATGAAAGAGTTGATATGTTTCTCATTTATAGTGGATGTAGAAAAACTCCACAGCAGTAGCCATCATGTTTGCTGAACGTTATACAGGATAGCGTCGCTCGACAAGAAGAAGAAGAAGAATGGAAAATTTTAAAAAGAATTTTCGCGACCAAGCAGACGAATATGGATGAGGTCACTGCAAGTGAGGACATAGAAATAGATGTGACCACTCCAGAAACTGTTTTAGAAGTTGATATCAGTCACCATTCTCTGTGGAAAATGTTGAAAAAACACAACATACATTCATTCAAATATCAAATATGAAAATGATTGTTACAGACGATTATCATATTGTAACCAGTTTCTCCAGTTGATGCAGAATTTCCTTAGAGCATATTTCATTCAGACGAGTTTAGTGTTTCGAATAAAGGCATGTCCTAATAATAGGTATTAGACACAAGAAATGCTATTTTCAAGAAAAATATGGGTTCATATGTATCAGCCTAATCGAACAAAGAATAATTGGCCCAATCATCTTCCAAGGATCTTCAACAGTAGAGCGAGACTTGGAATTTCTCCAGAATAAATCCGAAGAGTACTTAGAGAGTTGTCTATCAGAAATGATATCAAACGTGATGATTTCAATGGAGTTTTTCCTGATAGATGGCTGGGAACAAATTAACCAATGAGGTGGCCCACAAAGCTCACCAGATTTAACACCGCTGGATTTCTTTTATTGGGCTCGTAAGATATACGTACGGGCTCGTTCACCGATATAAAATCGGGTGAAGAGAGCAATTGAATGGCAGATCAAATTCGATTATGTCCCGACGTGAAAGGTGGACATTTTTAGCACTTGTGGAATTTTGCGGAAGTACCAAGCGTATTATCGACTGCAATAGTGCTTATTGATTTGTTTCCTCTCATTTTTAGTTTTCATTCTCCTAAGTTAAATTTTGGGTATCAATAAAAGTGGGTGTTCATTATATGGAAATTTCAGTAAAACAAATCTTTGTGAATAATAAATATAATGAGCCTTTATGGGACGATGAACAAAAATAGTTATAATGAAATATCAGTCGCAAAATTGTTACTTAATGTGTTGTCGGAAAAGCAGAAGTACTGATTTTGTTTCTAAATCAGATCATGGAAGCAGAGCGAATGTATTTTGTGGTCGAAGTCTCCTAGACGTAATATTTTTACAAAAAGAAACTCCACGGTAAGTATATTTTCTCCAAAATATGTATGTAAAATGAACAGAGGTATCCTGAAATGTAACAACATACAGGGTGTTCCTTTTCGAATAACCAAGTTGGAATGAATTACTGTGGAACTGAAATTATTGCTACAAATACTGTTGTTTTGTAATATAACAATTGCTTCATCTATTGAATGTTTTCAGATTTCAATGTTGCAACTAATACATTTCATTTCTGCGGGTTTTTCAAAGCACCTCGCCAGTGATCATCAAATTTTTGAATTGTAGTATTTTTATATCCATGAGGTTATTGAGAGTTTCATTTGCAACTATTAGCTTTTCCATCTTTCAATTCTATTCATTAATGCATGTTCAGGTTTTCTCCAGATTTTTACAGGTAAGATGAATAAGGTAAAATTTAGGATACTGAAAATTTACCAAGGTTGTATTTTCTTTCGAAACTTTTACTTTTACGGCAAGTTTAAACTTAATTTTTTGAAGAAAATACCACTCTCCACATAAGAAAATGAATATTTTTAAATAGAATCTCGTAACATTAATTTCCCCCGACATACATACACAGTGGGTTCTAGAAAATGCCTGCCGGAAAACAACTACTTCCCCGGCTGGTGCCACAATGGATATTGAATTATATCCTACAGATATTATGCAAGATACCCTACAGAGGTTAGTCTTGCAGATGTTTCTCGTTCATCAGCATGGTCTTGCTGCTAGATGGAGAACAAGAATAACATTAATTATAAGCATTAAAAAAATATAAGTATATGTACAGTGCCTTTATTTTTTGAACGAGTCAACTCAAAAAATTGAAATTTGGGATAATGAAATTAATGCATGAATACTTTATTTTGAAGTGAAATTGACAGGTGAAACTTTCAAGATGGCGACTGGGCGTTATCTGGGAAAAAAATTGAATGGAAAGGGGGGCTCTTGTGACACATCATTTTGAAGCTCCTGACGAATACTTCACAACCCTAGAATATAATGTCAGTGTCTTCAGCTACTGCAAAATGGCTTTATCTATTAAGAAACTAAGGACACATTATTTTTATTATTAAATGCAATATTTCAATTAAAAGCAGAATCAATACTCCTGACCGCTCTGGATTGAATGATTCCGTACAGTAAAATCAAGTTTTAATGCATTAATTTAATTATCCCAAATATCAATTTTTTGAGTTGACTCGTTTAAAAACTAAAAGGGGGGAATTAAGGAAATTCACTGTATATACCTATAGTGACAAACAATTATATCACCGAGACTTATTAAAATTAGTTGAAAAGTCATCAATGGTGTAGCAAAAAGTCTCTCCAAAAGATAAGCTTTTCATAGTATACGAGGTCTGTTGAAAAAATATGGTAAATGTTTGGCTAGTTACATTCGAATAGCGTTTTTTTTTTGTATGTTGGTATACTCGTCTCGAACATATGTTCAAAGTTACAGCTGTTCAGCATGTTTAGTTTGTTAGTGAGAGTTATAAAAGTTGGAAGTGTTTTGCGTGTTCCGCGATTTTCTGCTATCGAAAAAAATGAATCAATGAATTTGCATTAAATTTTGTGTAAAAACTGGAATTAAGTGCTCAAAAACACTTTAAATGTTCACAATGGTATACGGTAATTTTACTCAGAGTCAGAAAAACGTTTACAAGTTTTACAAGCTTTTCAACGAAGCTCAAGAAGATGTGAATGACAACGCTTGCCCTGGACACCCCAGCACATCAACAACGAATGAAAATGTTGAGAAAGTGAAGAAGATTGTCATGGAGAATCGTCGAAATCACTATTAGAGAAGTTGCTGTCATCGTTTTGTTGTGTATTTCATTATTATTATTATTATTATTGAATACAGTTTTTTTGGAATTTCATCACAGAGTGGAGCAATCATGAAGTTTTGGATCGAGCTGTTCTACAATATACATGTTCTGATAATCAACAATGAAGAGGCTACTCAATCAATACTGATGGAAATATTTGTATTGTTGTAAATTATCCCCTGAAAAAAAAAATAACGCCGGCCGCTGCTGGTCTTTGTCAATCGACTTTAACATGGCCAAGGTTGCGCTCAAGTGGACATGCGTTTCTCGATCGTTACAGACAGAGTTTTTGCCACATGGTCGTACGGTCAATAAGAAGTATTATCCTGAAGTTATGTGTCGCTTGCGAGAAGCAATGAGAAGAAAACGTGGAGAAACAATTCATGGCTTTGGCATTACGATAATCCACCTGCTCACATGTCATTGCTTTTTCTTCATTTTTTGGCGGAAAACAACACCGTAGTCATGCCTCAGCCACCGTATTCCCCCAGATTTGGCCCCCGGTGACTTTTTCTTGTTCCCAAGATTGAAGACACCCATGCGACGATTGAGGAGATAAAAACTTGATCACTGAGAGAGCTTAAGTTCATACCAACTGCTTCGTGGATTGGAAAAAGCGTAAATTTATGAATATGTAAATATTTTTTGAGAAAAATCAAAATTCAATATATTTTTTCAACAAACCTCATATACACATTTAAAATATTTCAGTGGAATGAAATTTCCAATCCTAAATAATACTCCTAAAATTGGTCCGATTTTGTAGCATCTCTATATGAGTATTCAAACAGAGACTTTCATCAATGTACAGACCTGAACATTTTGTATTTTGATGCCCAAATTTTCTTTGTTTATTTTGTTCTTGTTTTTCCACATTAAAGAAGGGTTTTTATAATTTGAACTCAATTTATGCTAATCTAATCAAGAGGTCGGCAATTAATGCCATTAATCATGTTATTGTAAATTTCTTTAGTATCACTAGAAAAAACTAACTTTCCGAGTCATCCTTGTATGACTCGATATTTCCTTTCAACAATAATTTTGGAATAGAATTTATGTATATCAAAAATGAAACTGGACCCAGAATAGACCCTTGTGGAACTCGGAAAGTGATAGTTTTCAATGAACTGGCATTTTTTCCTAGACACGCAAACTGTTTTTTGTTAGGTGACTAATTTTCAAAACATCTGTGAATAATCCCTCGAATACCAGTGATATTCAATTTACGTAATCAATTGAAAATCTCTATTTTTCTTGTTATTTTTTTCAATTAATAATTGTAACATCACTAGGTGAATAAATATTCCCCGATTTAGATTGAATATATTAAGTTGTTTCAAAAGTTTTGTCCGTTTTTATGTCTACTTTAAACTGAACAACTCAGTAGTACTTGTGCTAACTGAGTTGAACTTCGCCTTTTGTTATATCAGCAACTAGCTCTGTAATTTATTTAAATATTTGTATGTAACTACANAATATCATTTCTGTTTCCACTTTTGAATACTGGAGAAAGGAAAGATTTTTTCCAAACACCTGGAAAAATCCCTGTATCAAATGATCTTTGAAAAAGTATTTTAAGGGGATGTGATAAACAGTGACAGCAATTCCTTAACAATGCTGGCGGAATTCCGTCAGGACCCGCGCCCTTTGAGATATGGAGCTACAAAAACACATAAAATTGAAACGGACAAAACTTTCGAAACAACTTAATTACATGAACATTTTTCTTGTAACAGTTTAAAATTGAAATTTCTCCATATTTATTGTTGAATCACTTGTATCTGAATCTTAGCAATGAAGACGAAGATGAAGATACCAATGAGGAATCGAGTATGAAATCCAAAAGAGATGCCTCCGAAGGCAATTCTGAAGCCGCTGAGCCTTCTCCAGGACCATCTGCTTCTTCCGAGACCCAGCCTTTGGATAACGAAGAACGAAACTTGGAAGAGTCGGAAGATAAAAACTGGCCAACCATAACGGATTTAAACACTCGCTTGAGAAGGGTAATTACATCCTATCAGAGGAACTATCGCAAAGAAGAACAAAAACTAGCAGCAACCAAGTCGAAGGTAATTTTCATTTTCAATTACATTTCGGGATGATAGGTTTCAATCGAAATGATCTCATTGTTCTTGTTGTTATTCTCAAAAAATGTTTTTTAGATCTGAATTCATAAGTAAATGTGCTTAGCGCTTGGATGTAACTATTTGAGTGTAGTTTTTTCATCCGTACTATTCATATTGGTTATATTTGTATATTTATTGTAAAAAGTGTGAATGCTGAACAATCCTACTGAACTTGACTGATCATTGAAAGCGTTATTTGTTTCTGTGTTTTTATATTTGGAGCAAGCTTTTGAAAAAATGAACCTTTAAATTCTACTAGTAAGAGAAGGTGCTAGGAATCGCACGTTAAAACGTAAAACCTTGTTAATCCTTGCCTCATCCTTTCATCCTCCTTGCCTCGTTTTCAACTTCTAAGGGCTGCCCGTTCTTGAAGGGACGACAGCTGAGAGTAAATAATTGAAACGATAAAAAAAAATATTAGAAACTTATAACAACTGCTCAAAGTGACTACCGGCTACGTCCAAACAATAATGTATTCGGTTTTAAAATTCTTCATTAACTCGCCTCACCATGCTGATTGTAATATTTTGGGATACTCCCTTAATTCTATTTTTCATATCTTCCTTTGTACAGGGCTATTCAAATTCGTTTCTGTACAAGGGAATCTCGTAAACGATAAGAGATAGACTGTCGGTTAAATTGTGGCAAAGTTGTGTATTTCAGAGACCAATTCAATGATTTAAAGCAGGGGTCTCCAAAGTACGGCCCGCGGGCCAAATCCGGCCCATCAGTGTTATCAATCCGGCCCGCGACAGCCAATGATTTACTGTCATCAATCTGGCCCGCGACAGCCAATGATTACCTGATTGTTGTTTTTATTGCTGTGATAAGTTGAAGAAGAAAACACAGAATGATAATTACTCGGTTTTATTTACTTGCAAGGTAAAACTTAACGACAGAAATGATGACAAAGAAAACTTAACTTAAGTATCTAAGTTTAAGCATATTAATAACTAACAAATAATTGAAATGAATCACAGTAAAACAAAAAC